GCGCGGCGACCTGGTGCGGCAGCTGGCGGCGCTGCAGGCCGTCGCCGGCAGCGCGGGCGCGATCCAGGCGCAGCTGCAGCAGCGCGTCGAGGCGCTGTCTGCTGAGAAGGAGCGCGTTGAGGGCAACGAGCGGCTGGTGTCGCGGCAGACGGAGGCGCTGTTGGCTGAGCGGGGGCGGCTGATGGACTCGCTGCAGGCTGAGAAGGAAGCGGTGCGGCAGATGGAGGCCGGGATCACGTCGATGGCGCACCAGGTGGGGTAGGGGGTCGTGACTGATCTTTTCTGAAGGGTGGGGAGCGGAATAGGTTGAGAGCTGGGGGGATTGATGGGAAGGGGGTGTTGCAAGCAGACGCATGGTCGGGTGGAGAGGTTGTGTTGGGGGTGGGAGGTCGGATGATGGTCCAAGGTAGCGGCCGGCAAGACAGGTCCCTCCCCTTCTTCATACACTGCATGACACACGCCTGCACACGCATGCATGCGCGCGCACCTGCACATGCACACACACACACACACACACACACACACACACACACACACACACACGCACACACACATGCACACACACACGCACACGCACACATACACACTCACACTCACACAAACATACACACGCACACACTCAACACTCACACAAATTCTCTCACACACTCACTCTCACTCCCCCCCAGCTGTCCCTTGTCCTTGACGACCGCGAGGTGCTGCTGGAGCACCTGGCGCGCCTCATGCAGCCCTGCGACCTCGACGCCCTCGTCAGGGACATGCACATCGTCAGCGACGACAGCCCCGCGGGGGGCGGCCGCCCTGCGGGGGCCGACGCGGGGGCGTTCGGATCGCCCGCGGCGGAGGGCGGCGCGGCGCCGTGGGAGCTCGGCGGGGGCGGGTTTGCGTGAGAGGGCGCAAGGGGCGCGCGGGGCGGCGGGGGCGACGCACCGCCGCCGCCCGGCGGCGCACGCGCGGTGCCAGGCGGAGCGCTCGCTGCACGGCATGTTATTCAGCTGCAGAATTTCAGCAGCGCTGATGAACCTGGATTGCTGGCCCGCACACGTCGTATAAAGGGCGGCAACAACACTCGAGTCGATGCGCGCAGGGGCTCCTTGCGCGTTCGCCGGCGAGCCGCTGCGCCCAGCGGTCCATCGGGCTGGCTAATGCTATAGGCCAGGACCCTGTTGTGGAGCGCATTGTTGAAACTGGGAAGGACTCAGAGCTGCAAGCTTTGTCCCAGCTCGCGTACTATACTGCCTGAGAGCACGGGGTCTTGGGATCTGCACCACTTGACACACACACACACACATTTGCACGCACCTACACGCTGATTCGCACACACCCACACGCACACACACGCAACCACCTGCCCACGCGCTCACACACAAGTGCACCCTGTGCTGGGGAGGTGCATTTGGGCCAGGCGCAGCTGCTTGTTGTGCCAGGCAAACCTCCAAGTGCTGCTGTTGGTGTGTGCTGTGCAAACCTTTTCGATCCAAGCGCATGCACACTCCCCTTGCCCCCTGCTGAAAAGAAGCAATCTGATCCGGACACCCCGCCCAAGCCTTATGGCGATTGCTTCTCTTTCGACTCGGCTGCGGCGCTTTCTATTGGCACATCCCGCCGGCGCTACGCTTACACTGCGGCACTGTGCATTGCTCTCGCTCACACCGCCCACGCGGCCGCCAGCGCGCAAATGCGGCCTGAAGAGTCCGGGCCTGGGGTGTCAGGACCGCACCGTTTCTGTGTTTCCACTCTGGGGACATTGGTGCATCGCAAGCAAGCAACACTCGGGGACGGGCCTCAAAGAGGGTGAACAGGGAGGGAGGAACACCAATCACACACGCTTGTCTGCATTCCCCCCACGCCGTGCGTGCACGGCTCGGAGGTGTCCCTCCAGACAGCGCGCGAGAAAACCGCCCCTTGGCCATGTTTGACGCAAGACTGCTGCTGCCTGTGCGGCGTCGCCCTGTGAGTCACTCCTGTTGTGACGACCGCCGCTGCGCGGTGCTAATAGCAAAAGGACCGCCGCCAACTGTGTATGCCCTTGCCTTTACAACCGACGTGCGCGTTTGTGTAACCTCTCAGTGTGCCTGCCCAACCTTGGAACATGATTACACCAACTCTGATTCATCAACTCAAGCCGCACTAGAAGGCGAGGCAAGGCGCCGTCGCCGCCGTCGCAGCCACGCAGGGTCGCATCTGCAGCCGCCAAAAGCTGTGCATCAACCGCTCGCCGTGGGCAGCGCAGGCGCGCCCGTTGCAGCGGCGGACGCGTCGGCAACGGCCGGCCCCGGCCCCGCAGCCGCCGGGGCTGCCGCCGGCGGGGCGGAGGGGGCGGGGGTTGCTCCAGTGGCGGTGCTGGCGGATGCTGGCGCCGCGGGTCCCTGGACCGGCCCGCTGTCTGGTGGAGCGGCAGCAGCACCTGCTGGGGCCACGGCGCCCGGGAGAGCCTTGCGCGTCGGCGCAGCGCCGTTGGTTGCGCCTGGGGCGCCGGCAGCAGGAGCCGCGGCAGTGCCTGCTGTGCCCGCGCGAGGGGCCGCCCGCGCCGCGGCACCCCCGCCGGCCACGGCGGCGCCCGGCGGCGGCGCCGCGCGCGCGGCCACGGGCGCGACCGCGGCGCTGTCCTTCACCAGCTGGGTCGTGATCACCCTCGGCTTCGCGACCGCCTTGAGCGCGTCCACCTCCTGCGCCGCCTGCTCCAACCCCGGCCCGTTGTCCGCGATCACCACGCGCCCCGCAACCTCGGAAAGCGCGCCGCCCGCGGCGCCGAGGCCCTCGAGGCTGTCGAGGGCGGGGTTGTTGGTGATGACGAGGTCGCCGGTCAGGGCGGCGCCGACGGACTGCAGGGAGCGGGGCAGGTCGGCCAGCGTCTGGAGGGCCGCGTTGGAGCGGATCAGCAGGTCGTAGCCCACGCGCTGCAGGTTGCCCAGGCCCTGGTGGGTGGTCGCGTCACGCAGGTGGCAATGGGGAACAGGTCGTTATTTGGTCATCAGCGTGGGGTCGAGGTTTGGAAACTGCAAGGAAAACAGTCAAGGGTAAGGGCTGCGAAGAGGCCCGGCCTGTGGGCGGCGGCTGGTCGCGACCGAGGGGGTTGTCCGGGGTCCGTGGCGCTGGAGCAGGGGCCGGGGCGCAGCAAGCGCAAGCGGCGCGGCGGCCTCGGGCCGGGGTGCCGCCGCCGCACCTTGAGGCTGGTGATGTTGTTGTTGAACGAGATGGAGAGCTGCGCCCCGACAGACGTCAGATTGCCTGCAGCGCGGGGACACGGGGCGTGTGTTGGGGTTGTGCTTGTGCCGCACCGCGAACATGTATAGCGCTCACTCAGCGAGCAGTGCTGGCGTTGGTGTCTAGGTGGCGGCAAGTTGGTGGCTGGCAATCACTCAGCCTGTCACTCTCTTGCGCACGGCCGTGGTAATGTCACAGGGCGAATGTGACGAGTGCCGTAGAGGCTTCAGCAGCGGGCACGCGTGTCGAGGCTGCCCCTCAATCGTGGCCTGCTCACCAAGGCCCTCGAGGCTCTCCAAATCAGGGTTGACGCCCACCTGCAGGGCGGGGGGCAGCAGGAGCGGCGAATACAAAGTTTGCCGGCGAGCCAGGACTACTGCAGCGCGATACCACTGGACTACTGCAGCGCCCCACTGCATGTGCACGCACGCGCGAGCGTACACGTGCACAAATGTGCATGCACACGTGTGCCGCAAGGGCAGCATGGCTGACTGGATGCACGCAGGGTCGGTGGCGGGGCTGACTCAATGAGAAGCAGCTTCGTTCAGGGCTGAGTTCACTGGAGCCGACACCAGCCGAACTGCGGGTGCTGCCCGCCTGCCAGCTGTCAGCGCGAGACTAATGCGCACCACGCAGTTGAGCCCGACCGAGCGGATGTTGCTCAGCGCCCCCAGTGACTCCAGGGAGGTCTCGTAGATCACCAGGTCACCAGGGATGGCCGCGATGCGCGAGAAGCCGTCCAGGTCCTCGAGCTTGGGGTGGCCCATGACCGCCAGGCTGATGCCTGGCGGGGCGGCGGGCGGGAGCAGATGCACACACACATGCGCGTGTGGAGCAGGGCTGCGTCACTGAGCGACCGCGCACGGCTTGTGGAGGGATCGCGCCCCAATCCCCCCCCTGAGGCGCAGCTTGCATGACGCCAATGCGAACTCATCGAGCAGTTGCTGATGCATCGAGGGGGGGGACTGGAGCAGGCATAACGACTGGGGCTTTTATAAGCCGGGGCTGTCGCATGCTGTGGCCTTGCAGCTCTGAAGGGCACGAGGTGCTGCCGCCAGCTCACCGACGCTGCGCAGGGCCTTGAGGCCTGCTGTTGATACCAGCTCAAAGTTGTTGACCAGGGACACCTCGCCGCCAACAGTCTGGACGGGTGGGGGGTGCGGCACGCGGGCGCCGACGTTCGTGCGCATGTAGTGCTGATGACGAGCGGGCGTGCTGCAGCTTTTGCGTGTAAAGGTGTCTGGCAGGCAATGAGAAGAGCTGCCGCAATGTGTATTGCTGCCTACTCGAAGGATGCAATGTCGCTGCGCTAGCTGGGGCGTGCGTTTGCAACCAGCTGCCGGACCGCGGCCCCACGCGCGTCCTTGCCTGCAATGCCCCCAGGCCGTCAAGTGTGCGCAGGAGGGGGTTCTCGCGGATCACCAGATCATAATCCAGCGCTGCCAGGGACTGCGTTTAGCCGGAGGGGGGCGGGCGGGGGCGCCGAGGTTTGGATGAGGCCGCGCGTGTTGGCTGTCGCGCGACACAAACGGCAGGCAGATGGCAGGCTTGCGGTGCGGCCATGCAGCATCCAATTGGAGGGGCTCACGTCGAGGCCGGTCAGGTCTGTGAGCAGGGGGTTGGTGTCGATCCACAGGCGGCTGAAGAGCTGCGTGAAGGGCCCAATGCCGCGCAGGCTCTGCAGCCCGTCGTTGTCCCAAATCACCTGGCAGGGGCGGTCGGGGGTTGACCGGGGTTAACATGTTGGGCCAACGCGGCAGCATGCCTGCTTGTCAGCAGACCCGCGGTTGAACCTGGCGTGGGCAGAGGAGGCGCACCCGCTTTGTGCACCTGCTGCCTGAATTTCAACCGGCAGAATCCTGCAGCTTGAGCAGCACCCGAGCAGTGCTGATTTGTCCCTTGACCCAGCCACTCCAGCCACTCTGGTCAACCCCTGCGCCCTGGGGTTCACACAGGCCGGCCCACCCCCGCCCACCAGGTCCTCCGCTACGTCTGTCAGGCGTCCCAGGCCCGTGAGATCCTTGATCTTGTTCATGTGGGCCAGGGTGAAGCCACCAACACTCTGAAATGTATTGGAAATAGAGGAGTGCGGAGGGGCGGCAGCAGGTTCAGGGAAGGTGACTGATGATCAGCACCACAGACGGATCATGCGACACTGCCAGCCGGGGTGTGGCTATGGAAGGGGTGACTGAATGACGCTCTGGAAAGCGGGCGCGGCAGGACGAACTTGCATGCAGCTCTGCTTCATCAGCAGGAGTGGACCACGGCTCCCATCCCCCTGACAAGCAGGCGGCCACGCACGCCTGCAGCTCTGCTGGCCCCTGCCGCTCACCTCGAGCTTCTCCAGCCCGGCCAGCGACGCGATGCTGCTGTTGCCGTTCACCCCGAACAGCACCAGCGGCCCAGACACGGTCTTCAGGTTGCCCAGTGCCGACAGGTCTGGGATTGTGCCGTCGTCCCAGATGACGAGGGCCCCCGTGACACGCGGTGCGGTGCGGATGCAGGAGGCCGCGTCGATGAGGCTGGCCAGCTCGACCTGCTTCGCGCTGGTGACCTGCGGTGGGAGCAGGGGTGTGGGGGTACCGGTTGTGAATTGCAAGGTTGCTTGGTTGGGTGGGGACGGAGAAAGTACGCGCACGGGGGGAGGAGGGGGCCGGCAGGCCGACACACAAACGGGGCGGGTTGCCGTGTGCGGCCAGCGCCGGCTGCTGCCAGAGATGGCACAGGGACGCCACCTCCCGCAACAGTACGCGGGCCCGCGCCTTCTGTAGCAGCAGCAGCAGCTAACCGCCGCAAGCTCAATTTCGTATGTGTGGGTTTTCCGCAAGAATATGTGTCCCGTTAGCCAAGGGCAAGGCATGCTGTGGCCTGAACCTCAGTTCTGTATGTCCCTGCAACCCGCAGCGCACGTCAAGTTTGGGCAGCGGCGGCGATTGGTCCAGCAGGGGTCTGATGTTTGTTGGTGGCGTGGCCCCGTACGCGATGACCAGTGACTTGGTGGCGCCTGCGAGAGATGACGCGGGATCTCTCAGCGGGGTCTGAGAGTCCGCCAGCGCAGGCAGCAGATCCTGGGACCCAGCACGGGGCCTCAGCAGCTCACATCCCAACTGACGCAGCTTCCTGCTGCCGCGGCCGCCGGCAGGCGTGGGCGCGCCCAGTTCGCCATCCCATTGGGGTGCAGCTGCGGCTGCTGTGTATGCTGCTGCTATTAGCAGCAGTGTAAGCACTCCACAAACCCGTGGTGCTAGGGGCGCTGCCATTGGGGTGTGAATGCCAGACACGCGGTGTTGGGTGGATGTGCCGCCTCGCTGCTCAGCCGCTATCTTGTTGACGTGACTGATGCCTTGACTGAATTATTCCCCGTGTATTGTTTGCCTTGTGCGGACCAAAAGGACGCAACGGCTTCCCCGCGAAAACAACGCTAACGCAAGGGCCGAAGGTCCCAGGCCTATGGGCTGCGTAGGACGTTGATAGACAATGTTCTACCTGAAGATTGACCATTTGGACGCCAATGGTTCAGACGGCGTTTTGGGGGTCTGGGATCACAACCTCCAAGTGCCCTGCAGCCTCGGCATTTTCCAGCCTGGGCCTTTTCGGAAATCAGCACACAGCGTGCCCTCATCGTACAGGCTCTGCTTGTGGGTCGAGCTTAGGGGACTGTACCGTAGCACACGCACAAGAGTCAACCCATGCCTTGACCAGGCCAGGTCAACAGGCGCCTCATCGATGTGACCTGATCGAGATGGTGTTGCTTCTCATCCCTTGTGCCTGGAAGACTTTGTCGCTGTCGCACAGCCACCATATGCGCAGCAATCATTATTCCCGCACACTGCACCTTTGACTGATGCCGATGACACCGGTCACCGAAGTTGCGGGTAGACAAGGATGCCTGGCAGTACTTGCCCTGTTCGAGCTGTGGCCTCGGCCGCCACACAACATTTCTGGTTGATTCCCACGAACGACTCTTCGCCCCTCAGCTCATACGTAGATAACAGGCCGCCAAATCACAGTTTCGTGTTGTGAGAGCACCCTCTTTGCAAAGTAACAGCTCTAGGGAGCACCAGAAACCATGAGTGTCCTTCAAAAGATTGCGGAGATTGAGTCGGAGGTGCGCTGGGCGGCGAGATCGCTGGTGTCGTGGCTCAAGTGCTGCAATGAGGGGGAAGTCATGTGGCGGTGTTGCAATGGATTTCGCGAAACACCGATAGACTGCAGTGGGGGCCATGGGTGCGATGCGCCGCTTTTGCGCGCGCTGCCGCTCGCAGTGCAGCCTGAGCGTGCGCTGCTGCCGCCGCAACCGCGTTTTGCAGCAGTGCCACAGCCTCCTTGCCAAACGCTGCCTCTACCACCCGCCTCTATTGTTAATTTATGGCACCATTACCCTGCCATCATAAAATGCTTCTCCTCGCAGATGGCCAGGACCCAGAAAAACAAGGCCACCATGGGGCACTTGGGCATGCTGAAGGTGCGGCTGGGCGCGGCACCCAGCATGCAGCAGCTCCTTGCTGCCTGGTGGCGCAGAGCGGCTGTGGCTCGTGACCACCATGCAGTGCTGGCTGCGTCGTTTTCAACCGTGCGCACGGATGTGCTGATTTGCCGCCACCACCCACTCACATCTTACCCTCAGGCCAAGCTGGCCAAGCTGCGGCGAGAGCTGCTGGATCCATCAAAGGGCGGTGGCGGCGGCGGTGGCGGCGACGGTGCGTTGCAGCGTCAGCTCTTGGGCTGCCACATGC